CTGTTGCATCAGTTGGTGCTAATGGTGCCCTCCTGGTGGATATAATTTAATGCCATCCCTTTCTTACCTTCTGCCGGTGGCGCTGCAGGCGTGGCGCCGTCCGCTGGTGCTGCAGGTGGGGCTCCTTCTGTCGGTGGAGCCCCCTCAGCTGGAGGGGCTCCTTCGGCTGGTGGAGCACCTTCTGCAGGTGGTGCCCCTTCTGCTGGCGGAGCCCCTTCCGCTGGCGGAGCACCGTCTGCTGGCTGTGCTGCTGCGTCACCTCCTTCCTACAATACGACAACCCAAATAGCAACGACCTTACCTTTCTATAACTGCGTACGGATAGTGCATACGTGTAGTCGGTTACGCGTGTCCTCGAATGGCGTTCGAGGACACGCGGCTGTACTCATATCTAATCGTTGAAGGTATACGTGTACGCTACAAGAATTTCCCGGACACACGTAACCGACTACGCGATCCATGTACGCGCTGTCAGTACGCGCAGCATTACATTAACTAGAGTTCTCATTTTCAGAATTTTCGTCGGCTCTTTCTTAAGTTGCGAAACTCCAGTTAACTCTTGCGTTTACAGCTATAGCGAGATTATTGCGATGAACAAAGTACTTAAGCGTTAAGCAAGCGTATTAAGCTTGAAGAATGTTAAACTTTGTATCGCTGGTGGCAAAATGTATATACATAGGTGGTGTTAGGTTGGTGTGTGTTTCAGGGAAATTGTGCTAAATGAAGATGCACGTAATAATGTTTTGATAAAACCTTTAAATTAACTCGATGAACAGGAACAAACATCCGCGCATTATGAACAGCCAGCATTATTAACTCGATCTGAATTTGAACAAGCGTGCAAAATTACATGATAATATTTCGGTGTTCTAATATTTTAATATTAAGCAGTTAAAATCTAGAATTGATAAATTTCATTGTTTTAGTTTCATTAACGTTGCAAATACAAATTAATTGGAGTTAATAACGGATCTCTACGATTATTACGAGTAATATTATAAGCTCAGCAAATATAAGCTTGGAGTTTTTTTTTTAATAATTATTATGGTAAAAAGCAAGAGCTTTTCGCGTAAGCGATATCATGTGAAATTATGCTACAGTATTAAACTTACCGGGGAAACGTGTAGCAGCTGCACTAGAAAATTTACTTTCAAAACTTATTAAATGAAAAGATAACTATTTGATTTGCATCTTTATATTATATTATTTTTTCTAAACATTTATAAATTATTTCTTAAACATTTTTTTTTAATCTGATTTTTATTTTGTTTTTTATTTTATAGTCATAATTGTTATATCATTTACATTTGTAATGGAAAGTGACTTCATGAGTTATCTCATATTGAAGTCATTTTTCAATTTGACGACTCTGTATATAATACAGGGAGAAAAAAACAGCCCTTGCTGAGTTTCTTGCCGGTTCTTCTCAGTACAAGGTCTCCCGCCGTAGATTTGCGAACCGATGGCGTAGCTTTTCGACATTCACAAGTGCTTGTAACAGCCTAGACTGAATAAACGATATTGAATTTTAAATTTATTACACTAGAGCTGATTATACTCGTATTACAAATAAAACTTTTGCCCTGTAAATATTTTTAATCGTACTTGTATGGAATTGATTATTCCACCCAGCGCTTTGAAGGTACAAATAATATAATGTATCATTGTTCTTTTAAAGATAATCAAAAAATTATAAAAACGCAGTGTATATTTTCTGTTCATTAATTGGCACTCTAATAAATATAACGTAACTCTCAGTAGTGTAGTTTGTAGAAAATCAAATCTGTGCGGATTTAAAAGCTGTGACATCTTTTAATCATAAAGGTATTATGTTTTAACATTATTCACAGCAAATTTATACTTTGAGCGTTTTGACTCTTAACCCTACATTATTAACCTCCGTCGATTCGACGAGGCACATTTAAAAAAATATGGTTAAACTTCTACGCGCGCGATCGCATTCTTTTAATACTTTAGCTAATTTCAATCTACCCTTGCGATAGACAGTACTGCCCTAAGTGTAGTAGGCACACTACATTGTGTCATTACAGCGATCATGGCTCGTCGATTCGACGAAGGTTAGTAATAAAGTTGTATTTTGTACCCTATTATAAAATTTGATTTTTGCGTTATTTTTCGTGTGTAGGTATTTTTTTATTTATGTTCAACGCTTTTTATTATTCGCTGGTTGACATACTATTTGTCAGTATTTTTATTAAAATATAAGTGCGATGGCTAAAATTCATCAGGGTGTGGTCTTCTTGTCTTGTCATTGAGTCTGATCCGGCCTATGACACGGATTGTGATGAAAATTCTACTTTGACCCAGCACTAAGATTTTTGAAAATACTTAAAATAACCCACAATGACTGAATTCTGCTATCAAACAAAAGGAGGAGTAGATACATTGGATCAAATGTGGCCCCTTGCATCTTGCAGTCAAATAAACACGGCGCTGGGCGTTGTGCAATTTTTATGGAACTAGCAAACCAGTGAACCAAATGTTCACCAAAATCTGATTTAAAAAAAAAATTGAGAACTTCGGAGATTTTGTGTGGTTTTGTTTGAAATTCGTGATTTCTCGAAAACCGGAAGTGCTACGTTACTCAATTCCGGTTTGTAGTCTTATCAGACTATTCTTAACTTATAACTTAAACATTCTCTTTATCTATCTCTTACGGTTTGGCCGCTGAAACAGCACCACAGACGGACGGACGGACGGACTTATCTAATAGATGGAATACTCAACATTGTATTTATAAATATTTACGTTATTTATGTAACTAATACTGTAGAGGCTAACAAAAATCTTTGCTCAGATGTGATTAGCTAAAAGCTCTTCATGACAAGGTAATCGAACTGCATATGGAAAAGAAATCAGCAACACAGACATTACAAACTTCTTTGCCGGACTCAATAACACAGATTTTAAACATATCAGGAAATATTGCTTTGAGTTCTAATAATAAGCAATTGAGGCCAAACATAAAAAATCAGCTAATGTACCTTCTAAATAAAAATATGTGCCTTATATCCTTCCGTAAAGCGAAGGATTACTAAAAATGGTTTTAAAGAATTACTTAACAAGTGTAATAAATTGCTATACGGAGAGCACAAACTTTACATACGTCACAAATGTATAATTATTTTGATTTTCATCAGTCTTTATTTCATTACATAACAGCTTGAAGCTGCTATTGACGCTTGACGGGTATCCAAAAAATCTAAATAAATGTTGATAAAATAATGGATCTCCACCGCCAGCTGGATAAAAAAAGATGTTTTTAAATTTCGATCAGTTAATAATATGGTAATAGCTCCAGCTAAGCGCGAGCAGTCGCAACTGCTAAAATAGTCCGTGTACTTATGTGTGTACGTAGAAGCAGTCAATCCCGAATGCTTCAAGCTGCCCTTGTATCTCTTACAGTCACAACTGACTCTGGCTTCCAATACCCCATACATCGTATATTTGTCGATTTGGGTTTAGATTGGCAAGGTGAGGATTGCTGGAGTGGTTCATTTTTTCGGTCGCGTCAAATAGGTATCCTGACGACTGGACTCAACTTTCAAATAACATCAGGTGGGGTACATCATGATATTTATAGCGCCTTGTATAGTCGCATAAAGAACCTTATCTAAAAATTCTGAATGTGTAGTCGCTAAAGCGCCTAAGGTGTATGAAAACGACCTGTGTGATAAATTATCCCTAAAGAAATCTGACGCCATTTGATCTAGTGAAAACTTTTAACACTTCTCCGCTATGGATGAGCTATGGACATTGCCACGGATGAGCACATGTAAAAGTTCCATTATTAGAAAAGTTTTTTTTTGAACATAGGTACTTTTTAACCTTTTCTGAAAATGGAACCAATTTCAATAAGCGGAAGTAGCTGGGCGGAACTAAATAAAATAGTCATTGCTTTTCTCTATGAAAACTCCGCACATCTTGTTATTTTACAGCGCTTTTATTGACTTCAACGTTGAGGGTTAAAGATATTCATTTAATGGCTCCGCTCTGCTCTACCTGCAGTGAAAAGTTGCCATTACTCAGTGCTTGGATCCTTTTTTTATTTTCACCTAACGACTACCTGCCATACCGCGGTTAAGTGAAGGTTCTTGTTAACGTCTAAGGTACATGTCCCACCGCCGACGATAAACTAGAAGCGAGTGGAGCTAGAATCTAGAAACGTGTTGGCGAGCAGCGGGAAGCGAGTGTGTAATCCGATAATTTTTTCGCTTGGCTATAATCTAGTGTGCGAGTATGATGGTAGATTTCTCGTGCCACTCGCTCACGGAAGCAGAACACACGCGCGCGCGTTCTGACGGCCAAGCGAGCATCGCTGAGCAGGTATCGTTAAGCGAGTATTATATTTGATAGCTTTTGCCACCCAACGACAAACTAGTAGACCGAATTCTCGTCGGCAGTGTGAACAGTGAGCGATCAGCTATCAATTATTATGCATTTCTTTTGTTTACACGGAGTGTGTACATCTATTGTATGTTTCATGAGCAAAAAAATAGTCGATAGCTAGTCGCTTCCTCGCCAGCGGTGGGACGACAGCCTGAAGGAATATTTGTTATCATTGAGGTTCTGTAAATCTCTTCTAATGTGATCTGCAAGTGTGTAGATATGATACAAAAAAGTTGATATTCTAGCTGACTTACCATGAATTGAATGGTTTTATACAAGGTAAAATACAAAATAGTAGAATATTATTCACTTCAAACGGTACTACCTTAGTTCATTACTTAACAACAGAATTGAAATATCTAATACTAAAAGGTGAATTAAACACTGGATATTGACAAATGCATTCAGGATCACACTACAAATATACGCTAGTAGACGCATAGTTGTATTAACTCACTCATAAACTGAAATACAGGGATGGGAATTCAGGGTAAAACGGCACAACCACAATAATGTATCGTACAGAAAATTAATTTATTAAACATATTATCTTATAAAAACATTATTATTTAAATAAATATATATAAAAAGTGTTGTGTAGATGTTTGAAACATGATGTTTTTGGACATATAAAATAATAATGGAGGAATATGCCATCGGCTGATAACATTGGTACCCATGGTCGTACAGGGCTATCACATGGTGTTGAACAGCTGGCGTGAGATACAAGGTCTTAAAGGTATTTAATTAAAGTTAACAGTGGTCACTTCATGCCTCGACTTCTTCCTCTTTTACCTTCTGATCTCCTGGTTTGCCCTTGGACCAGTCTGGTTTTTTCTGTGGAAATAAGATAAAATTAGATTTCTGTTTAAAAATAATAGTTAAAAATTTCCGAAGCAAACATACGCCTATTGAATTAAATTGTATATACACCATTGAATTATATTCCTAAGAGTGAGTTTTCACAGGTTTTTTTAATGTTTCCCGATCATAGCATTCATTATTTGCTCTGTAAAAAAAAATATTTCATGTCAACTGAACATTTGCTCTTGTCATTTTGTTAATAAAATGAAATGAATCGATTACTTCCAGTGATAAAATAAGTATAAATGTTACTTACTGAATCACTAAGAGTAATCGAAAATCTAACGTCAAAACTCATTCTAAGTAAACATTTGAATCGTGTAGTTAATACTTTTTATTCGGAGATAAAAATTGTTATCAGGCGTAAGTACTTCGGCGTAGTTACAGCTATTCAGCAGACGAGGTAGAACATTTGAAAAATATTCAGTTAGAAAGTCATTAAAAATAGATATAACTTAATGAAACATTGCTGCTAAATATTTGTATTCTATATTTTCATTTATATCTACAATAAAACTTATGAGCTAAGAAAATTATTTACAAATCGAAGTAAGTAGGTACCATCTATTTGCATAGACAGATACGTTACTTAAATATAAAGTAGCTGGCGGGAAAATAAAATATTTTTTCATATTTATAGCCTTGTTCTCCAGAGTTTATTTTGTTCGCCCGCTTGTATATCTAATCCTACATAAAAATGTTCCGTCGCATACTACGCCACATGTAGCTTAGACGTTAAAGCTCATAACTCTGCTTCTTTAAAAACTAACAATGAAATTATATGAAGAGCGTGTCGTAAGTTTCGAGTGGTCGACTCACGAAACAACTAACGTCAATACACTCATGTGGTCTGCGTATGGACCAGAGAAGCTCTAAGCTCCAAAACTTTACAACTAACACATCTAAAATTATAAAATCATAAGCGTATCTTATAGCCACCTATCAAATTATATACAAGTGTATAAATATTGCGGTCCACACAAGCTAATTTACAAGACCACCAGCCGTGAAAAGTGCACGTTTTCAAGGCAACGATGTGTCTCATACGAATTGGCAGTCTATGAAAGAGCTGAGTGATAGCAGCCTTTTTATATTTTAAGCAGTGTTTGAAATCTCTATCAGCATGCCGCGTTTCTAATGGAATTGAAAATAAAAACTTTTCTATGGCAAACTACGATCGCTCATCGATTTACCTTTCCTCCGGCGCCACCCTGTGAAACATCCCAGCACAATTTGTAATAAACTAAAATTATCAAAACCAAGAGTATTGTAAAATCGATACAATTCAAGGAAGTGAAATATTAATGATGGAGTGCTCTGGTACGTGTCTGGATTGGAATTTCACATGTTGTAAATGGCATTTCGAAGAAGGCTTCAAAATTGGAAATGTTTGTAGCAATACAAATGTTAAATTAAACGTTGTACATGTTGTTATGTATTCCTCAGTAAAGTGTTGAAATATACGCGGTGCTAATAAAATATATCTCAAAAAAATTTACTTTATCAATCGTTCGATCAATAGAACTACCAATATTGTTAGCGGATACCTATTTTAAAGCATATATTTTTAAAATAACCTTTCTTATGATAAATAAATACTTGGTTAGTTGCAGATTGAAAAATAGAAAAGACAATTAGCACTGGAGAAATAATACCCATAATTTTTGACATTTAGGATTGGAGCGGGGGGAAGCCTCAGTTCACAAAACTATTCTCAGATCTAATCTTGCAGCGTTAAGCTTGTGGTGACAAAGAGGATTCCCATTATTAAAGTTATTGACAAACAATTAAAAAGAATCATCGAAGCCGTATTCACTGCGTCAAACTTTTCTCACCTCGGTTCATATAAGTAGGTACTCTTATGAACAGAAAACAGTATTTTTTTTTGGAAATAAAAAATAACTTTATTTGTAAATTAAAAATTAGTCGAATTAAAATTAAACCATCGATATTATTTTTAGATGGAAGTTGTTAAGTGTGAGTCTGTGAGTTGCTGTCTACTTTTTCCCAATAGCCCAGTCCGCTTTCTCCGCCTTCTTAGCCTGTTGAACATGAGTAAAATGATTTGTTAATTCACCCACATTTTGTGAGTGAAATGGAAACATTGAAATGAGAATTATTTCGATGGTAGGTATATCAAAAGTGTCCGAACAATTTGAAAGCAGAATTTAACTTTCCAAAAGCCGAAATATCGTTGTAAAGTGAATTTCGCTCTTTCATTTTAAGCAAATAAAATAATATAGATCGTCTTAATTCTATTTCATATGTCCCAATTGTAGAAAAGATATGTAAAGTAAAAGATTGCTTTTATTTGTTATGAGTAGGTAAAATTGGTTAATAGAAGAGAAAAGAATTTATTTGTCTGATGATATATACTTATTTAAAACAGTTAAACTAACGATAGTGTTGAATTTTGTATTCAAGTAAAATGAATCGGTATACAGCATCATAGTGTACATACGAAACATACATACCATACGATAGTGTACATTCCCATCAATAATATAACAGAAGTCCTAATAGTAATATCGTAATGCTCAATACTGTAGGCTAATGCCACTTCACATTGTGCCCTTTGCCCGAAAATGAATAACAAATCCCAAACAATTCGTAAGTTTGATATTACTCTAGTTCAGAGTGAGCTTAGAATTTCAAACAATCAAATATGAATTTTTGATTGAGTACATCCGAACTCCTACTATAACTTATATGGGAATTTCCATATCTTGATGTAATACGCAAATAAAAATATGAATTGTAGAAATTTTGAGTATACAAAATCCCAAATCAATACTTCTATTTTAATATAAATCATGAGCGTTTACTTCTTTAAAGACTATACGTATGAAATATCCTCTTCATCTACAATATAAAAGTGAAGATATAATATTTACCTCTTTGTCTTCCTCTTCAAGGGTGAACTCCTTCTTTTTGACAACCTTCAATTGGTTGCGGAAGTTGAATTCGGCGGCCTTCTTCTGGAGCTTTGCGAATTTGTTCTCGTATTTGGACACCTTCTTTAGTGTGGGCTTAACGCTGAAATATTCATAAATATATTTGTTTATATAAAATGAATACCTATAATACTTAAGGGACAAAGTAATACTTTAAGGATTATGGATAAGAAAGTTGTTGAAACTAAAGTTTACAGGGACAAAATCGCGGATGGAAGTTCGTATAGAATAAATATTATATTGGAGTGATCAATGATATAATATGATTTAGTAAACTAACTGACACATAAGTTAGGTTTAAATTCATATAATATTATATTTATATATTTGAACTAGATGTATTTTCTTTTACATCAATTTCTTTTTGTAAAAAATATTTTGTAACAAATTGATGGAATATATTTACCACGCTGTTCGAGAAAGTAATTTGAAAGACACAGATCATAAGGAAAAAGTGTGATATATCAAGGGGCGATATCGTCAGATTTCCATTTAATGCCGTGAAAAATGAACTCAATCTAAAATATCTTTATCTCTAACATGTAGCAATTTATCGTGATTCACTGTCTGATCTCATAACGAGACCGTTCCGATATAGCTCTTAATCCAAGTCTGTAATCTGATCCCATTTGAAATTGACTATAAATTGGTGGAATCATATTTTGGCATAAATGTGCTATTGGATATTTCAAAGTGATAGTTAAGATATTTATGAAAAAGTTATATGAAAGCTATTAGGTTTTCAAAATTAGCTGTAAAATATGTTTAATACCTAATATTGAAATTCCCACTGGCCAACTTTGCGAATTCATGGAAGCGTAATTACATTCAGTGAGTTAACATGAATATCTAAGTAAGAGAAGTTATTTATTTTCTGGCTCAGAATTGAGAATTCAGAGAAAACAAAATTACATTACGAATCCACCACAAAAGGATGTAATGTTGGTTAAAGTTTCTACTCAGAATTAATTTAGTTTTTACTTAAATAATTTAATCAATATTTTTTGAGATAAGTACACAAAATTACTTACAATTTGCCTCTGAGGTCGTTGACTTGAGAGTTGAGGTCGGAGATCTGATAAAATATATAGTAGATTAGGTTATTAAATAAGAAAAACAATTAAATATATTTTTAAAAGAAGATCGAGTAATTTGGATATGAAAATTAAAAGAAAACATAAAGTTAACGCAAGAAAAATGAAAAACAATTAAGTTTTCGATTTAACGTTATTTTAAACAACTGAATGAATAGTTTTAAAAGAAATGGGAACAACGTTATTCATATTGACATTATTGAAAGTTACAATTAAAAAAAGTGTTTTAAATTAGAAAAACATGAAAGATAATCAAAGACAAGAGTAACAGTCGCATGCAACGCGCGGAAGGTAGTAAACACTTAAAGCAGAACACTCCCAAGACATCTGGAAAAGAAAGCAGATTATAATGCAAGTTGATTTGAAAATAGTGATTAATACCAGAAAAGCACAGAACAAGATATAGAGCTGAGCGTAGATTAGGCGATGTTAGGCGAGCGTAGTAAGTTCAAATGTATGCAAGTACATACTGAGAAATCCGCTAAGGTCAGTCCCGTGTCCTAATACTGCCTAATATCTTTAGCCTGTGCTCTTTGCCTACATAATCACTTCCAGTGGTAACTATAAATCATGTACAATATAAATACGTGCACAAATTCTACCTATCGTGCCTCGGATGGTAGCTGGTCGCCTGCAGCTCCTGTGTCCTCAACAACAATTTATACATTAAAGTGCATAATATTTTACATGTGCAATAAAAAGCAGCGCCACAATACTTCTTCGACGCTGAATTTCAATTGTACGCAAGTGTGCATGTTCGAAGTTGTATCATGTTGAGCGCTGTACTGATATGCAATCTAACTCCCAAATGTACGTCTCTACATCGGTAGGTACTGTGAGCATTGACATTCAATGTATGGGTTCGGACATTGCAGAAGTGTAATGGAGTGACGGTGCAAAATCGATCCAGATTTGCAGATGTTGGTCGGTGGGTATATATAATATTTATTGTTATGTGGTGTCTTTGGACTCGCAAGTGATAGCAGTCACCACTCCGTGTCCCGAATAATCTGTGCAATGTTGTGAGCGGCCAAGGACGCCCTAGGCTCGACTCGGGGAAAGGATGGGCACTCGACCAGAGCATGGCACTTTCAATTTTTAAACACTCGCGTCCAAATAGTTATCATACGGGTAATACAGAAAGGTTTATGGGGCTCTCAGCAACCGAACACGCAAACATATCGCGCGGATGTAACGGCACATACATGAACAGTTGGAGATTTGGAACAAGAAGTTTCACTTACACTATGCACTTGCGTGTGCCAATAAAGGAACCAGTCCAGCGTTCCACTAACACTTCAACGGCAACTAATGTTATCATAAAAAAGAGAAAATTCAGTAAGGCCACTAAGCTCGCCACCACACATGAAGCGTCACACTGGCGGTTTTAGCGACCGCTCTTCGAGTATTATCGCGCTCATCACACGTTTTAAGTATAATTATTATTAAAGTGCCATACTATTTAAGGAATGAAGATATTAGTCAGGACTTGGAAGCATAATACGTTACTCGTTTAGGTCATGCAACAGTCACAAAGCTATAGCAGATAAGCCGATGGAGAAGCCTGTCGCATCCTCCATCGATATAGAAGAAGATGACGGTGATGATGAATTTGTCATCCATGAACCTTGGTGAAGAGAAGGAAATTAATGAAATGATATACGTACAGAAGTGAGCACGCAGTCGACAGATGAGAGTTACAGGCATGCAATGAGGAGTGCGAGAGCACCCCGTGAGTGAGTGCAGTGTTGTTACGCCGTGGGCGCATGGCGGTTACTCGTGTTAGTGTAGTTAATGGTGTAAGCTCCATGTCGGATGACGCGCCGCCGGCGCCGGCTTCGATCGATTTTGCACCGCACGCCTTACCGTGGGCGGGCTGCCCTCGCTCCGCTAGCGCACGCGCCGCGCTCTACTCACTACCGAACCCGGCCCTCCGCCGTTATTTACAATTCAACAACAAACAACCGAAAACTTACAAAGCGTTATATCAATGTATCAACACGAATTGTCACACGCGCACGTTTGTTACATTATCGATGATTGTGATATTCACAATGGTTATAAAGTATTGGTCAATACCTCATAATCTCTTTTCCTGACTTCATGTTCCAAATCCCACTTCTGGCCCTCACACACATACATGCGGTCATAATACTCCTGTATTATTCTCTTGAGCATTGCTATAGAAAAAGGAAAGACAGATTATTGAGCCGGCAGAATGAGCATGGGCATTTGTGTGAGTGGCCTACGTCTGTCGACGCGGAGCGACATGTGCATGTGTGCGGTGAGCCGTACAACTATCATGTCATGTTGTAACAACTAAATCAGAATCAACTCATATCATATGCATTCCCAATCCTAATATTTTGTTTACCTCCATTTTCCTAATTTCGATCGCTCGTTCTAGTTCATATTTATCCCCCTCAAGGTTGTATATTCTGTGCCAGTACATTTGACAAATCGTCTGCAGTTCCGCTAAAGAAAAACACAATCACATATTTAATCTACAGGGTCTGATGTCGACGCAGCCTCGCGGATATCTGTATGTCGAAGTGTAGTTTCACGAAATCGGGACCACCTCACTGGAGACAAAGCGTAAGCCAAGCTACATGATTGTATTTATTTAGGTGGGTGTCAATGGACAATTGCTGCAATATAACTATATTGTTATTGACTCAAAACTCGATGAGAGTATCTACAATATTACTCGCAGTTTCGGAGTTGCTACGAACGGGACGTTGTTATTTAGCGTTTTTTACTTGTTATCCACATGGTTAGGGATCTGATATTCAGCTCCGCGTATTGTAATATTATGAATCTGCTGCGAAAACAAAAGTAAACTTTCTAGTCACATTATCGGCATGAGCTACTAAAACGAGAGCATAATTATGAAAAGTTTTGCGCCCAAACCAGGTCACACCTCGAGCGCTTTGCGGGCCACTTCCATCTCGTGATCGTACTTCTCCTCTTCGAGCTTGGTGATACGCTGGTGGTAACCGGTTATGATGCTCGTGAGAGCCGCTACAAAACCAACAAGAGTTACTTGCGCGAAATACAGCCTACCAAATGTAACCTAGACCGGCGGCAAGCGCTGACCGTGGACAAATACAGTTAAGTGTGAGTGTCAGACAGAAATTTATTGGAAAAATAGAAGGTAGTAAGTATTTGCAGACAAAGTAAACGTCTTCACATGGAGCTTAGAAAAAGTGGATAGACGCGTTAGAAAGAGAAATCGGCCATAACCGACTGACGCGGTAAGGCCTCTTCCACCAGATAGTTTGAGCCATGTTAACAGACGAAGATAGCACGGCACTGGACAATCACATAAGTCATGAAGATGAAGTAGAAAGTTTGTGAGTTCGTCAAAAGGGGTTGTCTTATAGCAGCCCGGCTCACTACCTCCATATCTTTCCTTTTAACGATGTATTCCAGATCGAATTTCTGGTCTTCAAGTGAGGCGATGCGCTCGTGGTAATCTTTGCAAACCCTCGCAACTGTATCTATAATGCGACACAATACATGTACATATGGGTAACTAACAGTATTAACATACTCAGATAAAAGGGCAGTGTCATTCGTGTAATGCGTGTGATAAAAATCTATACATGTATTCACAAGTACACACCTAATGGAACATATAATTGTTTCAAAGGGAAATCTAATGAATCTTGGATCTTACTTATAGGATTGTCCTCATAGTCCATAATATGTGGATATTTACCTTCGTTTGCGTCATCGATGTTCTTGGGTTTACCGCACCTTTCCTCAATGATACGCCTCCTCTCGGCGGCTTTGCGTTCCTGTTCCTTCTTCAACTCCTCTGCGGCTTTCTTACGTAGCAGCAACTGTTGTCAAAATTAGTCATGAGTATACCCTGCCTTCTAGTTTTTACAATGAGAATAACTTGAACCACCTAGATTTAAGAATAAACTCAACATTGAATTTGTTGAACCAAAAAGAGTCGAATGGGTGAAACGGTAAGGGGTTATCTAGGTGGTACTTTATTTGACCATATGTTATGTTATATATATGTATGTGATATAAAATATATATATATGTATGTTATGTAAATATATATATGTTAGTAAAGGGTAAACATTATCAACAAGAACTCACCCTAAGTTTCTTCTTCCTCTCTGGTGTCATGAAACCCTTCTTGGCCTTCTTAGCCTTGGAGGCTTCCTCCATGCGCTTGCGCACCTCAGCGCGCTTGCGGTCGATCTCGGCCTGTTTGGCCTTCTTCGCCTACAGACAACCAACTACATCGTAACTGTGTTCCGACTCGGCTATCGGGTCACTTTTGATTCGCATATAATTTATATTGTGTTAATTTTATCCTTACAACATTTTATCTTTCTGTAAAAGCTTACTGACCTAAACTCTATTAAAGTAAAGTAAATACGTATATGAAAAGAATACGATTTGAAAGTTAATGCAAATCAAAAGGATCCCAAACCGAGCAAGTATTGTGCGTGATCAAAGAGCCTGATAGAAGTAACGACAGATTTTAATGATGACTTTAATTGTACGGTCAATTACCATTTCACATTTACTGATACTCAAAATGATTTTATACGTGTCTATCTTACAAATATGTATAATTAATCTAATAGTATTTTCGTCTTAAAGCAAAGTGTTGTGAACTGTTTCATACTAAAGTGTGTACCTATTACAAAATATGGCACGTGCTGCCACTGACAAAGATTAATGAATTCCATCGACAAAAAAAGCTTAAGTAAAAATTTCTCCATGCCTATTACTCGCTAAGAAGGCTTTGATAATGTTGATTAAAAACACCGCACAACAACAACGAACAGATTTCACCACAATCTTTCCCTATGCACAATATTTGCAAATTAAAAACAAAAACATGTAAAAGGCAAATTATTATTCTGCTCTGTCTGTTCAGCAAGACAATCTATGTTTTCAACAAAGACATCATAATTATGAATATGAAATGAGGACGTTGAAATAAATGTGAAACAAGGAGCATGCTTTTATAGAAATGTGATGAAGGAAGAATCTTAAATTTTCTCTTTGACGCTTAATGAGCTGCATATTTCATTTTAATCAAAAGATTTATCAGTTAACGACTCATCAAACTGGATGTATATCGAAGATATAAATAGTTGGATAGTTATATTGTGCAGATAATATAAAAATATGATCCGTTCTATGTTGGTTGAAATAAGCGTTTTTGTAGAGAGACTGAACAATAGCGATGTTTGTTGACACTATGTGATTTTTTCCTAGTTCAAGATTATAAATATCTCGGAGTTGCATTCCTTAACCAAAATGAAATTGTTAATGAATTTCGCGTGTGGTTGTGAATAGTGTGTGTCATCCCCGACAGGTCGCTACTTTACCTCCTCGAGACGCTTTTTCTGTAAGAAATCAAAAAGACAATTAGGTCAATGTAAAAAGAAGTACTTAAACAAGTGTTAGACTTATCGAAGTACAACTTTGCTTCAAAAAAAATTTTGAAGTATTTATAATCAAGTTAAACTTGTCTTGTAATTTAAATTAATAGTTACTGAAATATTTATAAAATTCAAGAAGTAAATATGATATGCAATTTTATTGTTTGAATGGATGCAAAAAGCATTTGTATTGCTATTAATATTGTAAACATCAAAGTACCATTAATTTGTTTGCAGGTTAAGCCTTAATGGCATAACAAATGTTATATAATAAAAATTTAAGTGTATTAATATGCATTATTATTTATTTACTTTTATGAAATACTTTTTAAATTAAAATTTAAAAGAAAGAAACAAAGTTTATAATTCCGATCGTCTAACAATTAAAATATTTAGACACAAAGGATTGAACCACAAAAAAGTTAGTCACTTTTTAAACAATTATCAGGAAAATTTTGTTTGATATTTTCTTTATAAATTCACTTTAACTTATTTGTGATAATGCCAAAAGCTTTATACAACACTCTCTCTCTTGTTTTAAATCTAAACTTGAAACTTTTTTCAGTTGTTTTTTATATAATGATAGATTTATTCTCATTTAATACAAACTTTTCGATAGAGAGCCGTTGTATTGAGCACAAATCAAATTAAACAGTGGACAGTTACTTTGGTGAGTGTTATATTTTATTTGGTGCAGTGTTTGGGTGTGATATTATGCGTGAGCGTAATGCAATCCTTGCATAATGCCTAAAAAAGTTGAAAAAAAAGTGCGAAATGTAAGTAATTTTTAAACTTTGAAACATCCGCGTTGCATTATAAATATAATGTTTAACTGATTAAATCGGGCACTTGTTATAAAAGTGTTCGTACCTTATTTATCCCGAGATTCCGACCCGGGTTAAACCAGTTTGGTCACGGGGCAATTGTCGTGATAAAGAAGGTACAAAAACCTTTACTACAAGTGCGCGTTTTAACCCGTTAAATAGTATGTATATATGACTAATTTCGGTTTTCCAGTGTGAAATAAGTAGATGCTTCATAAAACGGCATTATGTACGGATCTTGTGAGTGTGCACATAAAACATAAAAATACATGTGCGTTTAGCATTAATTGGATAAATCGGGTTTTGTTAATCTACAAAGGTGCTGTGAAATTACCACATTTTTATTTTATTTATTTTTTTGCCACACTTTTCAGTTTAGACTGTGTTTTACACAGCGATTTAAATTAAAATAAAAACATAAAATTATCTCAAAATTGACCAGCCGCAATTTACACGTATTCACTTACTGTGGCATATATTATGTTTAATAGGTACATAAATAATAAAATGCTGTAACAAAAATCGGACGTAAATTTATAAACAGTTAAATCCACAGTGTTTTAAATATACTTCGTTTTAATTATGACCACAAACTACTAAATTTTCTAAGATATTTTCCATAAAATTCACATATTGAGTGAGAATAATTTTGATGAATCAAAATAGCAGTTCTGTCGTGATCTTTTATTTCAGTTAATTTTTTTTTCTAGCATTGCATATAAATAAAAATATAGATATATTTTTACAAAATCACTCAAGTTTATGGGAATCTCTTTTCTTGTTCGACGACTATTTTCGGCTTTCATACAGTGGCATACAATACAGTTTGTGTTTTCTCTTCAAGAATTTCAGTTAAATATCTCGGCACCGCTTCGTTGTGTATAAAATTTTCTGTTGACAAGTGGAATGTTGTGTGCAAGTAAGTTGGCGGGTTGGTTAAAAGCAACACAAAATTACCTGAGTCTCGAGGAGACATGATACTCAATACTGTAGCGGATAGCAGAGGAGATCATGGGCGTAGACCGGAACGATATATATAGATGGATTGTAGCCAACCGGAGCAGCACGAAGAACACGATGACAAAGGAAAAAGAAAACAAAAGAAGATCGTGTTAAGAATTATTAAGATAACTGTAGCACTACGAATCGTCAATGCTCTAAGTTTTAGAATATAATTTTGTATGCCATTATAAGACTATTGTTTATACATATACTGATATCTACCTCATGAGTAGTATGGTATAGCAAATATTTGATAAACGGACTTAGAATTTACAATACTGTGAAGTTACTTCAGGCGATAAGTAACCTCGTTGTGTTTGCTAAAAAGTTAAAATTCAATCCGAAAATTCTACTTTTTGTTTTAAGTATCGTATATATTATTTATTGAAAAAAGTACTTTGGCATAGCTATTGTACAGTACTATCCATTATTTTCACTTTTAACATTTTTATTATTTTGTATTACAGTGGTATTGGAAGGTGCATTGCAAAGATACTACAATGTTTTCATAAAAAAAATCTATTTTCAAAATACTGGTAAATCCAGTCTGAAGTTGATTTGAAATTCAAGCACAGAGCGCTTAAGGCCACATTGTTTGATACATAGTAGTCATAGATGAATGCCATGCCAATGACCATTCATTTATCAATGCATACCTAATAGTAAGATTTGACTATAGTTCAAGTACTAAAGAAAAAATAACTTTTGTCAAGATTTGTCACATTCTACTATGTATTTGACGTGACATTTAACAGAGACTACAAACAACGAGGCCTTAGGCCGAGGCACTAAAATTGTTAATATACTCGTAGAGACGCTTAATCCTTAACAGTGTCACCAGGCTTAAAACGGAGAGATCCTTAGAGGACCTCAATCCGGGAAATGGCAAGTGGCTCAAGTGGTTTCCTAGGCAGAGAGCATCTCCCCTCCGCCGTAGAGTTACCAGAGGCTCAAGCACGAATTTTCGTACAGCTCCGTAATCGTATCGTCATCTTCAAATTTTGTATGGAAGGAGCCAGTTTGTGCTTACGTCCGGTAGGGGCGCTGCTGAGTTTTCATTAGGTTTTTATAGAAACTTTGACGATGCGATACGATTACGAAGTTGTCAAAGTTCGTGTTTGAGCCTCTGACTGTATCTGAGGGGCTTCGACTCAACTAGAGAGCGTCTCTAAGACTTCTCAAATTCCCATTATACACAAGATCTCAGCGAGTTGCGGCAAGTCGATAGCATGAAAATATTTGCAGATGAGTCGTCGCCTAATAGAGGTTCCAGTAGCAAGTTCCGCCTGAACCAAACTTACAAGCTTAAAAGATAATCCCAACCGATCGTATAAGTTTAAACCTGCGTGGTACCTAATGAATTATCAACACAACTTATAGTTCCTACCAACCAGTTTCTACATACTTTAGCAAAGTAATACTTTACCATAACTTTGGCTTGCAGTATTATGTTCAATTTAAACTTATAAGTATATATTAAAGTATATATTATTACTTATAAGTATCATTACTTTAATATTGAATAAGGAAAAAAAATGTAGTACTTATGACCAGCATATCATTAGAAATCTCACAACTACAGTATTTCTCAACTAAACGCTAGCATCTTGTACGCCAGAAACCTTATCTACATTAATAGGGATCCATCTTGTACGCCAGAAACCTTATCAACATTAATAGGGATCATTCGAAACTCTGTAAAAATCCTACCCTCTGAAATCAGAACAATTTACGCAAACGAACTTAATTATCGATTGACCTTGAAATCTTTTATTTCAAAATCAGAATTCTTTAATTAATTTCACTTCAAGATTTGACCTTTAGTAAGCTGACATGCTTTAATCATTATATATGAAAAATCATCACATACTTTTATTATTTCTTTAAAGTCACTTTCATTGACGCATGGATTTTTTTTGACAGAATTATAATTTCTGTAGTGCGTGTTAACTTACCTTACTTCATCATCCGCCATTGTTGATGTGTTGGTATAGGTGTCCTGCAAATAAAAATTTACAATTTATTTTTATAATTTTTTATTAGGTACAATTGTTTAGTAATTCTCATGTGCGTGTTTACAGAAGAATATATATTAATATTGTAGACTAATTTTGAATTTACGCTTAGTAATATAAAAATTTTGTCACTTAATTTTTTTTAAACTATAAATATAAATGACTATAATTTGCCAATATTGTTCAGAACACAACAATACATACAGATCTATTTAAATCCTTAAATATATGCCAATAATTGTTTCGAGTGTTTCCAACCTAAAAATGCGTATTTGGCGAACAACGCGCAAAATGATATTTGAAACTTTGGACAGGTGCCAGAAAATCTAGACATGATATGTTCTATTCGATATACCGGGAGAGCATAATAATTTTCTCTTCTACAAAACTGAGAGTATTTTACGTTAAATCATAACTCATTGGTCTGAGTTCAATATTCCCCGATGAGCATTCGAGTCACCCGCTTTGGTTACCGTGTAATGTATTGGTTGGTCACTTCCCTATCCGACATTGCACTGTTGACCTAAATCGGTGGCATGTTCATCTAATTATAATTTCTTTTGCATCATAAATTGTGTAATTATTTTTATCTTGGAAGAAAGTCTGTAGGATCGAGATGATTGCCGCATTTAGTTTCGGGAGTGGTCGTCAGTCGTCGGTATTCGTCGGCAGCGGTCGGGTGGCGCGGGCGCCTGAAATAGGTCAGCGCGTATTCTCGCGCATCCTAATTTGGTGCCGCGGACGCAAGGGCGGTTACTCGGATTTCGAATGCGATGGACAACGGACCGGTGCGAGCGCTGTAACGGGATATCCGATGATATTTAATTACGTCACGTGACGTCACGATCTATGTTAATCCGCACTGTTGCTAAGAATCCGTCACGAGATCGTCGACGTCATTGTTTACAATATCTATTATAACAATTATGATAATTAAGAAAGTTTGTATAACGTGATAAAATGATAATTTAAAAACAAATTTTCGATTTAACTGTATTGTTAACTATTTGAAGACTATGAGGTATGTTGCAATGTCTGTGTTATCTATACCGTGTGATGTCAGTAAAGTCAATGAATTACTTATAAATCCACTAATAATTAATCAATGAGTCCAATGGCAGGAAATTCGTCTGCAACGGCAAGGTATCACTGGAGGTATCGACGTCTTGACACTTCCGTAAGATAACGCTATAGTCTCACTACACTCGGGGGACTAGACGAATCACGGTACGAGGTCCATTTCATTTAGATCGACGTATCACTTCACTAAATTCACTTGTTAGTTTTAATGCAAATCACTCACTCACCTAAGGTAAGAAAAAAGAGGATGGCCCTACAGATGGTTCAGCCAACACGAGTCACAGCTGCTGACTGGTGTAAGGCGGGCGGCAAGGTGCGGCGGGCGATGCGTAGGCGTCGCTCCGTCCCGCCTCACCCCGCGCGAAGCTCCATACAACCCTCCCCCCGGTTTTCCTCGGACATTTTTAGAGCAGTGTCGTTTTGACACCAACACCGAAATAACATCAGATCTAAGCTCCAGTTCGGAATGATCGCCACGTTAATGTGTGACCGACCTGCGTTGCGCCCGCCATGTGCTGTGGATAATAAACAATGTATAATCTGACACTAAGGCATTTATTGCAAGCATTCCGATAGCACAGTTATATGTTTATTTAGGACTTCTGTGCAGCAGCATTATGAATCATATATCGGGTTAAAGTTTTCACTCGATGTTTTAAATTTATAAATTACTAGCGGCCGCCCGCGACTTCGTACGCCTGGAGTTGGTTAGAAATAAAGATTCACTGCTCATTCCCCGTAGGTGATAGCGTGATAAAATGTAGCATATGTGTTGACCCAACTTCTTAATAATATTCGTGCCAAATTTGAAGTAAATCCACAAACAGAAAAAAATCTAAAATCTATATTTTTAGCTTCGGTAGCGATTGTAGATCACACCCCGAGTATTCTTTTAAAAAAATATCAATGTACAGTTTTCACTTCCCTACTACTTTATTATATGTATAGATATATGTGCATAGAAATATTTATATTACAAAAGCTTACACTCCATGTTTTATTTACTTGATATTGCCCCTAACATCGAATATAAATTAAAGATAGTAAGACATTAATTTGGATAATATTTCCTAAAAATCTTTCGATACTTTGCTTTCTTTTATAATTCTTCAGGAACCTTTCCATATTGTTAATTTAACAGTATCCCGTCTCAATCGTAAAAGTGTAGGGAACAAATTATCTTAAATTTAACGTTTTTATTCCGTTACAAAATGAATTTGTCAAATTTTTTACCAAATTTAAAAAAAGAGAATGAGGTTTCTTTATAATTAAACATTTAGCAGCTAAATGCTAAAAACTGAAACTAGAATAAAGATGAGGAAGTCAATTGTAGGTATGTTTTCTCTTTAGAATATAGTAAAATTTCACATTCTTAATAATGGGATTCGCTATGAAATTGAAACTGACCAAAGAATTCTAAGGAGATTATAGACTTGTGAAATATGTGAATCCATTAACGAATGAATTTTCTTCATGTTTATCTCACGCACGACTTTACGTAACTGGTGTTCATTCGGATTTACTGAAATAAAAAAAAACAGTAAAAAAGGTTTTAACTTAACTCAGCCCCTCTAACATGACCACCGAAACGGGATATGATAAAGCTTTTTATCGAATCTCAACTGTCAAACTCCACTGTAGTCTGACAGTTAATGCCGATATATCGCTTTATCATATCCCGTTTCGGTGGTCATACTAGAGGGGCAGGAATGTGCACATCTTAACCTTTAAAATCCTTTATTCAGCGGAGGCTGTTACAAGCACTCGTGAAGACCGAGAATCGACGCCATCTGTAAATAATTTGATAGCGATATTGCATTAATAAAAAGTTTAAGCCAAAATTATTGATATTAAAGAAATACCACAGACAGGCTCGAGTTATGATGTAAGAA